TTGTATTATATGAGAGTGGATAGATCGGGCATGGTTCTTTCATATTTGGACAGCCATGTTTGCCGAATAAACAAACACAGATTATCCCGTAATCCGCTGATGCTGATGATAATCCGTGATAAGTTTACATCTTGTTTTCACAACAAATCCGGGATTATATCAATGAATGGTGTTGATGTGGGCGTGTCGTCATCAACTGTAATTGAGTGGTATAATAATGCTGAGACAATTGGTAATTCGCTTCTCATCAGGAGTTATTCTTGACATGCTTTGTAGACAAGTGTTGGGACACATTGAAATAGTTTCCACGTTTTGTGTCTGGAGGATTTTCTAGTCCCCGCGTGTAATGAAATAACACATACAGGGTCAACTTTTGAAAATAATTGTCCATCATCGATATTGCTAATAGTAACTGACAATTCAATGTAATCGTAAATTTTCCACTTATTCATAAACACGAAGTCCAGTCGTACATTTTATGTTGTACACACATATCTCAATAATAATTCTGGAAAGTTAGTACTGGTTGTCAACGTTGATATATGCAACAGTCAGTATGTATGTTTCATCGAGTATGGATAAGCGAATCTTTGGCAGATAACATGGGCACGTGATACTTGAGACACGTATTGGATACCACTACTAAAACAACAACAAACTACTACTACTACTACTACTACTACTACTACTACTACTTCTACTACTACTACTACTACCACTACTTGAAAAATAAGCTGTGTGAATAAAAATGAATTTGAAAGATTTGCTTGTTTGATTGTTGTTTCGTGTCCAGGCCAGACATTCCTGTAATTGACATTTTGATCATATTGGATACCACTACTGCAACATCGCAACTAAAACAACAACAACTACTACTACTTCTGCTATTTTTACTACTACTACTACTACTACTACTACTACTACTACTACTACTACTACTACTACAACTACTACTACTACTACTACTACTGATGCTGCTACTACTACTTGAAAACTTCTCTGTATAAATAAAAATGAATTAACCGCACTTAGCAGTATTCAAGCTGTATGACGGCAATCGAGTCTAGACCAGACAATCCAGTGATTGACATTATGATCATCGATCTACGGAAATGGGAAACGATGACATGCATCAACTATGTCAGCGAGCCTGACCATCCTGTTAGTCGCCTCTTACGGAATAAGAAAGAGATGGTGTATTGAAAATATGTCCTCAAAGTACATTATGAAAACGATTAAAATTACAGTAGCAAGTTAAAGTAAATATACTGATTAGATCCTTGTGATGTTCAAGCTAAAAGAACTACATATCTGAAGGGAAGGGTCACGTGACATATTTTGTGGAGAAGATCCTTAGAGATTGTTGGATACATTAATTATTTTATTAGTTTCTTAGGTCAATAAACAAGAAACTGATACATTCTCCAGTTTCAGTTCTTAGTTTTACACTACTATGACATATAATCATAACAATGCATGTCAATAATACCCTCTGATGAGAAGCTGTTTACCAACTGCCACACCAAGAACAATGGCGGTGATGACGCTGCTCCGGGATATTCAGCCTGCCTCCACATAATCCAAAATGTTTAGTTCCCCATGCAGATGTCGGATTATACCCACCAGGGGAGAGTGAATTAAAGGGTAATCTGTGTTGATTTAATCCAGGAATATGAGTATAAATACACGGTCCCATCTTTGGTGTATCAGACATTCCCACTTTGTACTGGACAGAAGCAGAAACGATGAAAGTTGTGTTGTTTGTGTGTATGTTGACCGCGGTCACTGCTGGAGAGGCGGACACAGAGGTAGGTTGTTTTTTGGTTCTTCTTCTTCTTCTTCTACTTTTTCTTTTTCTTCTTTTTCTCATTATCGGTATTAGTATTAATCTGGATACTGAATGTCTGTAGAAAATCAGTACATATAAGAAATATTATGTAATTTCTTACTATGGACTTATGGTTCTAAAACTGCTTTCTCTCATCATGTTCAAACTTACGGGTGGCCTACGGTGTTTGAAATTATCACATCTGTTTTACCCTAGACCAATTATTTAACCGATGTTCACTCATTTCCTTATAGGTAAACAACATCAAATCCGTCATTGAGCAACGTGAGTATAGTCTTTTAAAAATAATGAAATATATAATGACAAGCAATAGTGAAGGACCGAATAATACTATTTTAGTTCCTTCTGCTTGGGTGTAACTCACGCAATTGGGATCATGTTACATGCTGAAATAAAGAGTAACAGTTCTAAACATGCCAACCCTTCTGCTTACTATTATGCTTAGTCCTTCATTGTAGTGACGTAAATTTTTAAATGAATTTTACTAAATATAATTGGAATGCATTAAAGTATAGATATCATATTTTGTGAGCTGAGCTTTTTAAGTAAACTACCTTTCCTTCAGTCCAGGCAATACAATCAGATCTGTTTGGAATGGACCGTGAGACCAACAAGAAATTCCCTGATTTGTCCAAAACGAACAGTAAGTTCACACCGGGTACATTGTGACAAGTCGAGATATACATTTGATGTAACGATGGTTGGAGATAATAATGTTGTATTGAATTCTAAGATTGAAAGAGATATACAGACATAAGATGTGTAAATATGGTTTTGGATATACCCTGAACGATGCACATGAAATCTTTCTAACTTGAATGTTTTTTCGATTGCATTCATAATCTATGACAGCCCTATTTCTCTAAGCTGATGTTCAAACTTACTTACTTACCTATTAGATTATGTTGCTGGTGCGACACAAAGTTCACCAACGACGTGGGTTGACCACCAAGGAACAGTTAAAAGACAAACGCTGGACAGAGAAATCAGAATAATGGACATGATGTTCAGACTCCTGCATGGTAAGAAGTTTAATGTTCAACATTAACGGAATCACTATCCATGTTTTAGCGATTTGTTTTAACTGACAAATCTGATCATACTGTCTTATTTGTCAGTAAATACATTGAATTGGTCCCTACTTTAGTCCAGTTTTCATTATATTGTGAAGCATTATACCATGCTTGAGATATTCACTTTGTTTTGAAACAATATAACTTATATGTGTATACTTCAAAGGATTTATTGCATCTGAGTTATACCGATTACAAAGTCTGATTATTTAAAACAAATATTTTGCTGATACGCGTTCTCAAACATCATTATACAATATAGACCATCAAGTAGTTCAGATAGGGCGACCTTTGATAAGAATTACGAAGTAAAATGACACTTAAATTGTCCCATGATAGTAAGCAGTGTGTTGATGCCTTTACTTTGACGTAGGTGATGACGAAGACAATTATGTTGTTTGTACACTGGCTGACGCCGCCGAGACGTCTCAGATCTCTTTAGATGACATCAGCACATCCAAGTATCAAGACAAACACACCATTAGGTCAGTTTCGTACTAATTCCTTCGTTTGTGGTTGAGAGTTTAATGTAGTTGATACCTACACCAATTACCATCAGATTTGATAACAGCATTCACTTCCTCAGACGGCGCTCTATCGACTGCAAACAAGACGTCGGCTACCGGACAATGGACGGAAGTTGCAACAATGCTCGCTGGCCAGCCTGGGGATCCACCAACCAACCATTCAAGAGATTTATTGATCCTGCATATGATGATGGTAAAGAGCAGGTTTTCTTCTGATATCATATTGATATAAGAACTTAAAAATCATTGTTTCATGCTAATAACCATGGCAACTCATTAATAAACCAGACCGTTTGATAGCAAGTCTTGTAATTATTCCATTGACATTAAGTTATGCCCTTTCAATATCACACAACTAACCATGCACAAGGGAACTTTTAAAGCAAAGGTTTGGCTTTCCAGGCAAGTTCGTTCCCCGAATGAGAGGCGTTGATGGTTATCCCCTTCCCAGTCCACGTGCCATCAGTGTGGCCGTACATCCGGGAGTTGACAGTCCTTCTAACGACCACACGGTGATGGTGATGCAGTGGGGGCAGTTTGTGGACCATGATCTCACCGGAACTCCTCTCCATGCAGGTAGGTGCCAAGTGGCCAAAACTCTCTGCCTATTAAAGTGACCAGAAGTGTGATGTTGAAATCAGATAAACTGTGATATTTGTTTTTGTAATCCATATTTTTCGAACCTATTTTCATCATTAAGCTATCCATCTGTGAACTTTACAAATCCTCAAATTCCTTCAAGGTGATGTTCACTCCAAATGTTGCGATGGTCACACAATAGGAAAGATGCATTCTGATGTACAAGCTGGGTAAGCAATCAACATTCTATATTTTCCACACTTAATCATTATGTTTCGGTTAATCGAAATTACTGGTCGTCATATTTAGAACAGACTTTGAAATTACGTGGCATTGTAGACATTATTATAATTGGGATGAAAGAGAAAAAAGCCTTTCCATCACCATAAACCTCTACTGTAAAATCCCGAGTACATCACATACATGTGCTTGTGCATCATAACATATCATAAGCATTATCATAACAATGTTTGATTGGAACAAGGAAATATGTTAATTCTTTTGCTATTTCGCTGTTCCAGCGGCCCTTGTTTCCCGATCACCATGCCAGTAAATGAAGGACATTTCCAAAAGAAATGCCTGGAGTTCAAAAGATCAGCCCCAGCACCTGGAAGGAGTGAGTATATGAATACTAAGCTGTGAAGGTTACCTCATCTCAACATTGGGTTGTTCAGTCATTATTTATCTGTTCTTTCTAACATAACGTATTAAGTAACGAAGCCATAAACAGCACTGTATGATAATACCCATGTTTAATTGAAAATGTCACTTCCAGATACCCGGGAACAGTTGAACCTACTGACGTCCTTCGTGGACGCCTCTAACGTGTACGGCCTCAGTCAGGATCAGATCAATCACCTCAGGAACGGACGTAAGTCAGGCAATATTTAGTAATGAATTATAATTTGTGATAAAAGAAATATGTTACATTTTGACAGCATACCCCCGAGAGTAATTTTTACATACAAATTAATGTCGTCATTCAACTTTTCAGCCTACTTAAAAATCAAGGGAGATAACCTGTTGCCAGAATCCAACCAAGGCAACTGTCGAACAAGCAATACCAACGAATGGTGTTTTGAAGCTGGTAAATACAACTTATTAATGTATTTGAAGTAATATTTTCAGAGTCTGTTCATAAAGTACTTCACACATGACTATTTGGTACAATTGAAATGATATGGATAATTCATTTCACAACATTGTCACAACTTCTTTATAACTAACTTCATCATTAGGTGACGACCGTGTGAACGTGTTCCCTGGTCTGGCCGTGCTACACACCGTGTTTGTCCGAGAACACAACCGTCTTGTCAAAGAACTTGCTGATGTCATGCCATCGACCACTCCTGATGATGTCTTGTTTGAGGAGGCCAGAAAGATCGTGTCAGCCATCATCCAACAAGTCACCTACCGCGAATGGTTGCCCATTATTGTTGGGCCCTTGGCCATGAGGAAGTACAGACTGACCCCTGGCTTCAGCTTCAGGTACAACATCACCCAAAACCCCACCATCTACAACGTCTTTGCCACCGCCGCCTTCAGATACGGCCACTCCACCATTCCACGTTTCCTGACCCTCGGAGATCGACATGTACCCATAGAACAGCTCTTCAACAGACCTTCTGAAGTCATCAAAGATTTGGACACCGTGCTGAAGGCTATCCTCAAGGACAGACATCAGGAGGTTAACCGATTCATCAACAGTGGGATGACGGAGCATTTGTTTGAGACGTCGGGCAATAACGGCTTTGACATCGTGTCCTTAAACATTCAGAGAGGTCGTGACCATGGCCTGCCATCATACAACAACTTCCGCAAGGCATGCCAGCTATCGGAAGTGACTTCATTTGATGACAGTGTATTTGGTAAAGCAGGACCTGCTTTGAAAAGTGTATACAGGTTTGTCTTATTTAATTTACTCTTATATGTGAACAGAATTAGTGTAACAAATTTAAAAAATAAAGATAGTTTAACTCTTCTCTGACATTTCTCAAGATCTCCTTACATATGTGTATTCTTGCTTCAGTTCCCCTGATGACATCGACATATTTACCGGTGCAGTAGCTGAACAACACTTGCATGGCGGTGCAGTGGGCCCACTCCTCGCTTGTCTGATTGGTCAACAGTTTCATGATCTGAAATATGGCGACTCATTCTGGTTCGAAACATCTCATCCAAGAAAGGGCTTTACATCAGGTACTGTCAAATCTGTTTGTATTTCTGCGTGCTTGTATGGTTTGTTAACATATTTGTTTTATGTCAAAATATGTACTTATTAGATAACCTAACATACCTTTAAGATGAAAACGCTATACAATTTTGTTTGTGTGACGTTTCATTCTATTCATCAAAATGTTTTGCTGTTTCACTGACAATAGTGTGGAAAGATACTCTCTTGTTCTCCGAAGTGATTGTACATATAAATAATAATGACATTTTCTATTTCAGGGCAACTGTCTGAGATCCGACGAATGCGCTTTGCTAAAATTCTTTGTAGGAATTCAGGAGTGAAGTCCATCCAAAGAGATCCTTTTACAGTGTACTCAAAAGAAAGGTAGGCAATGAAGACATCTAGCTTCATCATTTGTCAGTAATTAATCATTTCACACAGACAGAACTCATATCAACATGCGACAGGGTATATCTGGCGTACTTCATTTAGTGAACATTGATCAGAATTGTATCCTGGATCCATTTACACCTCGTGACACACTTTGAATGTAACATATTCAGGCTCATTCAGTTATATAGGATACGAATGTCAAACCTGATCACATGAAGTATGTTGCTATCTTAATGGGATGACATAATTTTTGTATTTTACAGCAATCCCATGATACCCTGCAACGATCTTCCAACAATCGATTTAACCAAATGGCGGAGATGAGAAGTTGCTTGGCCTGTCCTTAGGTTCAACAATGAACCCGATTACTTGAAACATAAGATTTCTTGCGTGTGAGGTGTTCCAACACGTATATCCCACACTACTGGTCGTGGTTTGTAAGATGCATAAATCACAGAGGACATTACATTTTTGACATTTTTGTTCAGTTGTCTTCATTGTAAATATGTAATGCTAAGAACATTTGGGTAAAGCATTTCACTAATAATGCTGGAATAATTAAATAAAATGTCAGTTAACATTATACCTGATTATAATGCCTACACTTAATGAGAACAAAACAAATTGGTAACTAATTAAGTGTGTGAATCCATCAGTCACACCATCAAAGCGTTTAATCACAGTATACAAGTTGCATTAATATTGGCAGTGTATGTTTATGGCATTGTATAATATATTTGTCAAGGGCATAAACATATTCTACATGTTTGACTTGCACTATTTCATAGATCTATGAAGGAGGTGTATTTTATTCTTTATCATTGTATGATATTGTATAATATATTGTTGATGTCGTGCTTAAAAATTTGGACCCGTGAAGATTCCGGGGTAGAATAGGTCTTCAGCAACCCATGCTTGCCGTAAATGGTCACTATGCTTGTCGTAAAAGGCGACTAACGGGATCGGGTGGTCAGGCTCGCTGACTTGGTTGATGCATGTCATCGATGTCAATTGCGTGGATCGATGCTCATGATATCAATCACTGGATTGTCTGGTCCAGACTCGATTATTTACAGACCGCCTTCATATAGCTGGAATATTGCTGATTGCGGCGTTAAACAACAAACCAACCAACCAACCAACTTAAAAATTTGAAAATTTATATATAAAGTTCAATAGAAACAATATTGAACAATACTTGTATTCTATCATATATCACATTCAATTGTATTTGTTAATTTTACAACCGTTTTGTAATAAACACGTTCTCTTTTGTATTTCTGATTCATGATCTGTTAATTTCTTGGTTTCGCGCATTCATCTACCGTTTGGTTGGCTGATTGGCACATTGATACGTTTCACATTTGTGTTAATGTTTGGTATCATGGCATAGTGTCCAGGTTCTAGATACATATTGTTTCTAACCGAGCAGTGCCTTCTGTATGTGTATAGATCACATTGTCCCATACAGTACTTCCGATACAGGTATATAGCTCACATTGTCCCAGACAGTGCTTCCTATACACGTATTACACTTCACATTTCGCCGTCAGTGCTAACAACACACGCAGATAGTTCACATTATTCCAGACAGTGCTTTCTATAGATGTACATGTATATACTTCCCACTATCGCTTTCAGTGCTTCCTACAAACGCAGATAGTTCACATTGTCGCAGCCAGTGTTTGCTATACGTGTATATACAATGTAGTTTATTCTTTATATGTTTATTCTTCATATTGTCACAGATCATGTTTCCAATACGCGAATATATATATATATATATATATATATATATATGAAACAAACATAAAATATAAAAGATACATTAAATACATTGAAAGCACTGAACGTGCTATAGAGGGATTCAGATGCACATGTAGGTTACTCAACGAAGCAATGATTGTATTAATAGTTGACATATGCGGGTGGATAGATCGGGCATGGTTCTTACATATTTGGACAACCATGTTTGCCATATAAAGAAAAACAGATTATCCCGTAATCCGACTTCATGTTTACAATGAGAGCCATACAACAACCAGCTATATCGCGGAGTAAAATAGTTCCTCAAAAAGAGAAGTGGCATGAGCGTATGGATGTACAACTTGCTCTTCAGAAACATCTTACGCAGCACATGTCTTCAAATCATATCCTCATTAGATGAGAAAGTTCTGTAAAGAACTACCTCATTAAGTCAGTCACAATGACAGCGCGTCGTAATACATTTACAACAAGTACAAGACGTCAAAATGGCTGACACGATAAACGTGACGGGAGAGATTTCCGAAGTTGTTAATGAACTTGTGGCGGTTACATGTGTTAGTCATCATTGATCAACTGGCCGATCATTGAAAGGTGAATAAAGATGCGTCAAACAGACACAAAGGTAATTTCATAGATTGCTGGAGACGGTCATTGTCAGCCGAAGAGACGGATCGAGTCGATACTATGATAGTTTAGATGTGCATTTCTTCGTTTATTCATTAGGATAGGCCGTGGCGAGGATATTCGTAAACAATCATGTAGTGACGCTCTCTGACATTTCTCAATGTATACTGAAACGCTGAGATCAAGAATAAAGGTTCTAAATGATCATATAGAACACTTATGTATGTTTTCGTGCTGGGGAATTCCCAGGGGTTTCCCCAGGAATGTGGAAGTAGTCCGTCAGTGTTGACGTCATTTCAAGAACACGGTCTCGTGAAAAACGTATGAACGTCAAATTGTGTCGTTCATACACTTATGAACGTCAATTTCGAGGTCATGTGACCGTCCTCTCGTCCAATGGAAAAGCCGTATATCGTGTAAACTTCAAATTAAAAAAATATTACTGAATAAACGCTGTCATCAAGTGATCGATATATGGTCGTCTTTGAGTGAAAATAACTACAATTGATATCATTATTCCACACATATAATCATTCATTATCCCGTTGTCAATGAACACGATGAGCAGTTGTCGTGAGTTGGTGCTCTTCCATTGATCTGATTCGTTCATACGATAAGAATAAAGTTTATTGTTGCGTCACACGACATACCTTAATCAAGTGAAAATTGTAATACATGCATCTATTAAATATGTCAACATAGATCGTGTATTGTCCAGCCAAAACGACCTAAGAGACACATAAATGCAAATAATTTCATACTTTGAAGTTTACACTGTTTCTTTCATGCTGATTGGCTGAATGGGTAGTCACGTGATCTGTTTGGAGTTCACACACCTGTGAACGGACAAAAAAAAGTTCACACGAGGTGAACAATTTTTTGCGAAATTGATCGTGTGAACTTTTGCCGGAACTACTTTCCGGGGTTGCCCCGAATTTTCGATCGGTGTTTACGATCAACTCGTTTTTTCTATTTTCTCTACATTTATCAGCAATGTAATTAATTTAGTATTTTTGCTTGGTCTTGTAACATTTCATCTGACTATCAATGAATAAATGCTTTGGTTCTGGTGTTTGATGTCTAGCTGCTACATGAAACCAAATGGATTGTCCTTATGGTGATTTGGATATGGAATGGCTATCTTTCAATACTAATAATGCAAGAAAAGAAAATTAATTCTGTAAAATTACTGATGTGAACGAAATTGATTTATTGAGCGATATTGACTTTGATGCCTTGTTTTCAGAAATGACAGGAATCTAGCAACAATGAAAACAATGTAGTACCCTGCTCAGATGTAGCCGCTGACACAGAGCAAAGACTGCTTCTGATCAATCCCAAACTAAAACCTGATTCACTATCGCATCGGGAAAAAAATCTAAGCTTTTGAGAAACCATAAAACACCAACATAAATTTAAAAAAAACCCCAAACACTTGCCTGTTTTACCGATTGGTCAACGGAGACGAGAAAATATCCGCAGACGAAATTAGAAATATACTATTCCGGTTTCTGAGTTGGCCGACCTTCTCCGTGCATTCTAGGCCGAGAACCGGCGGCACACGAGGAGTGACGGGCCCAGAAATGAAGCTGGTCATACAGTAGGTCCATCTCAGGTGGCAAGAAACACCAGCTAGGCAAAATATTACAGCACACGCGACAAATCCCAAACTCCAAATATACACACTCTGACGTTGAAGATGTACACAAAACACATAAGTTTCAGAGCACTCGGTTCAATCCCCACCACTGCGATTATCCAAACACAAGCAACA